CTGCTCTTCAAGATAAAGTTTATTAATTTACCAGAGATTAAAGTGGTTGTTCTGTAATGTGCTCACAGAACAATGTAAATACGAAAATTAATGCAAATAGTTTGGTGCAGGCCATTTTCTTGCAATTATTTGGCTAAACTTCAACTTACAAAAAACAATAAAATTTGGAAGGTATATAGAAAAGTAAAAAGTAGAATGTACTGTATCTTGGAAGAAATTGAATCTTAATATATCGGATATAATCTAATACTAATATGAAGCATATCATGTTACACCACCTTGTATGTATATAAATGGTATCGACATTCTTAAGTACAAAATCATATATGTATAAGTGTCTTGTAAAGTAGAATGAAATTGAAGTTGAATTTCTCCACAATTTTTATTGAACTTCTATGTTTGCAGCAATTAACTGTACAATAAAATTGCCATGGATTCTAAAATCACAGGACATGCAATAATTGTGATGTAAAGTGGTAAATCTGTATTTGTATGTACTAATAAATGTTTTTACATTTCTCAACTTCAATTGTTTCTGGTTCCATATACATTACGTTTAAAAACCTTAACATATTCTAGATAAACTCAAGCATTTTATACAGCAACACTGAAGAACAATTTATTATACACCCCTTTCTTTATTAAAGAGATTCTGTCAAGCACGTTCTGTGCTTGTATTATTACACGTTTCGATTGTCCCTCGACAGCAAACGTACAAAAATTGTAGCGTAGCTATCAACAAAGAAAACGGATCTTCAATGGCGAGTAGAAATGATGCGTCTTTGCGTAGTGACTTTTCGTGACTGTACTGCTCGAAACTCGAGACTCCGCAGCACAGCTAGGCAAGACGCAAGGAAGGGTAAGGGAACTGGCGGGTCCCGCAGATGCGAGACTGTAAGGCGAATTCATAGTTAAAAACTTCATAGTTACAATATATAAATTCAGTAGGGCAACTGTCGAGAATTTCACTCTTAGATGGACACCCGCTCTGCGATGTCGGTATTTTAGAACATGTGACACAAAATCCCATATGGCGTCCGATTTATTCTGATATCTCGTCTGTGGTGATATCAAAGTAGACATGGAATTGCATGGAATAGACTATTGATTGTGAATAGACAGACTATATTCTTGCTAAAATATTTCTGAAATATCTGTAACGAAAAATGCGACACGGCAATAGTAATTGGATCTTAGGCATCTAGCGCCCCATTTTTGTGCCGACATTTTGGGTTCGGGTCGAGTTCTGAAAATTTGTGATACTCGGGTACCCGACATCGAAGTCGTGATCTTATAGCGATGTCGACTACCCGGGTGTTACAAGCTTACGGGTCCCGCACGACTCAAGAGAGAAAGAGAGGGAGAGAGGCTCGGGTCCCGCTCACCTTTAATAGAAAAATACATTAACGGCGCTAGGTCAACTTCTATACGTGATCTGTAGTAAGGCATAATTAACATGACAGTAATGAAACTTCAAGAAGCAAATTAATGAGGGAAGTATGTATATGTATATAAAAATGATAGAAATTAAAATAGTATGCTACAAAAGTATTTTAATTACATAGTATTAGTCATATTTGTACTCTGATTCGTCGAAATAATACATTATGTAGATGTAGATGCATTGTAGCACTATATGACTGCAATTATACATTGAATTCGATATTCAGAAAAGAATTATTTACTAAAATTGATTGACAATATATGTATACTATTTACAATTCCAGTTTGTGCACAGAAATATAAAATATAATATTCTTATATGCATCTGCGTGTGTATACATATACACGTGTCTTAGTATGCAAATTGAATGAAACATGCTCGAATGTTTCACTTCATTAATCATTAATTGACTTTTCCATTTTTACTTTAACTTTGTTAACATCACCTCCTGATACACTTAATTGTTCATTTGGTGAATTTTTATTGTACTTTTTTACCTGCTTGTCATATTGGTTATATGTATCGATTTGAATTTCATCCGTTACGGTACTTGCTACGAATTTTTCCTCTTTTATCTCTACTTTATCTCTATTTATCTCTTGTTGGTCTTCATCTGATAAAATGTTTAGCAGAGATTTCTCCTTCTTTATTTTTATTTTGTGTACCTTTAACTCCTGATGGTCTTCATCTGATACAAGATTTTTTACAGATTTTTCTTTCTTCACTTTTACTTTGTGTACTTTTAACTTCTGTTGGTCTACATCTGATTCAGTGTTTGGTACAGATTTTTCCTTCTTTATTTTTACTTTGTGCACTTTTAATTCGTTATCTTTAAAATTTCGTTTCTTTGATTGATCTATATGAACATCATCTATTTGCTTTCCAATTATCTCATTGTGAGTATTTATATCGTCAGATTCCTCTATTTTAATTACAACGTTTTCGAATGTAGGCTCCACTTTGACTTCACTAAGATCTAGAATACCTTTTTTCGAATGTTTCTTCCGCTTCTTTTTGTCTGCGCTAGTTCCATTCTCTTCGTCTATGTTGTAGCTAGTTTCTGCACAATCTTCTTCTTTAAAATTATTAACATTTTTGAGTTTCTTATGTTTCTTCTTACTAGGTGATTCTTCTACTTTATCATCAATCTCGTTAACAAAGCGATTATTAAATGACTCTACTTTAATATTAGTAAGTGATTCATTAATATTTGTGTGCGATACTTTCCGTTTCTTGGAACTTTTCTTATGGGAACTCTTTATGTCCTTATCCGTAGCAAAATCGCTTGCCGAATTATCAGTTTCATCTAAGTTCTTTCGTTTTGCAGAACTTTTCTTTGATCTACTTTCGTTCTCTGATATAATTTCTTCCTTAATTTGGTTGTTACTAATATTTGTTGAAATCTCTGATTTAATCTTTTTAAATTCATCCTCAAGTTCCACACTGGATAACCTTCTTGATAATCTTGATGGTGAATTATTAGTCTTTACATCAGCATATTCATCTATACTACTTTGCGAACTGTAATCCTTCGATTTCTTTCTTGATCTAGATTTCTTAATTTTTTTAATACATCTTTTATCTTCATCATCTTCATTATCTTCATTATCTTTATCATATTTAATCACTTCTTCTTGTTCAGACGATGACCTTTTTTTTCTGCTTTGTGTAGGAGTTTCTTCTTTAACTTGTACTGCATCCTCATCTGAACTGATTTCTGAATCAAAGAATGTGTGTTGCCTCTTCTCTTTAACGCTATGCAAATTTCCTATATCAATTTGCTGCTTTTTACGGTGAACTGCCTTTTTGAATAATCTACATCCTTGTAGATAATTGCTGAAACAATCGTAAACAATAGTTGATTTTATCTTAATTGATAATGTCTTTACATTAATTTAATAATTAATTAAAGGAACAGATTATACCGGGAAGTTTTGTCTGATAACGTCATTGCAAATTTCAATAGATATGCACATATTCATTTGAGACATATATTTTTGAAAAATGTTGCTCACAAATTGCCATCACGCTGGCAACAGGTCATAAGTAACGACGGAAATTATATTGTACAATAAATATTACTAAATTTATGAAAAATCTATTATTTCCTTTCATTTCTTAAACGGACAGAACTTTCCGGTAGACCTAATATTT